AACTACAGCAGTATTGGCAGTACTAAGACTTTGTCACCAATAGAAATCACAGATATTGGCCAGACACAGTGGCTCATGCCTGTAATCCCAGCACTTTGGGAGGCCAAGGCGGGCATATCACGAGGTCAAGAGATCGAGAGACCATCCTGGCCAATATGGTGAAACCCCGTCTCTACTGAAAATACAAAAATTAGCTGGGCGTGGTGGTACGCGCCTGTAGTCCCATCTATTCGGGAGGCTGAGGCAGCAGAATCGCTTGAACCCGGGAGGCGGAGCTTGTGGCGAGCCAAGACCACGCCACTGCACTCCAGCCTGGTTACATAGCAAGACTCCGTCTCAAATAAATAAATAAATAAATAACAGATATTTTCTTATATTACAAGTGTTACCTATATCTTGAAATATTGTTTATGTTCTTTACTACTTCAAAATTATGGTAACTAATCCACTGCTAGATCTTGTTGTCTAATAACCTTGTTATTAAATAATGCATTAGTTTTTTAAAGACATATATATTACTATAGCATAAATTCGTTTAACGTTTTGACAAGTGTTTTGCAATTGGTTTCCTTTATAATACTCCTCCTTTTGTTTTATATCTTTAAAAAAGCATTGTTCTGGTCCGGCGCAGTGGCTCACTCGTGTAATCCCAGCACTTTGGGAGGCCAAAGTGTGTGGATCACTTGAGGCCAGGAGTTCGAGACCAGCTGGACAACAAGGTGAAACCCGCCTCTACTAAAAATATCAAAATTAGCCAGGTTTGCTGGCCTGCGCCTGTAGTCCCAGCTACTCAGGAGGCTGAGGCAGGAGAATCGCTGGAACCAGGGAGATGGAGGTTGCAGTGAGCCAAGATCGGGCCACTGCACTCCAGCCTGCGCGACAGAGCAAAACTCTGTCTCAAAAAAAAAAGTATTATTCTGAGAAAGAGTCTTTAACCTTCCCAGAAATGCCAAAGGGGTACACAGCACAAAAATGGACCAGAGCCCTGCATTATAGCAATGGGCAGCCCAGGCAAAGCCAGGAGCTCTGCACAGTGTCTTTGAGCAAAAAGCCAGGTTAGAATTACCATAAATAAAAGAGACAGATGAAGAGGAAAGGAAATGAGCCCAGATTCCACCAGAAGACCCTTTCTCCCTTTCCGCCAATTCCTGTTCAGCAGGTGCCCTAAATCCTCTCCCCTTCGGGTTGCAGCTGCAGCCGACCCCTCGAGCGCCCCTCTGTCCCACGCGCAGTGTCGGTGGATGACTGTGTCAGTCCCTGGTCCCCGGACGCCAAGCACCCAGCCCCGCTCAGGGACGGTGCCGAGTGACAATCAACAGGTGGAAGGCGCCAGAAACGTCCACACACCAACACCACGGATACTTCAGTTTTTAAGAACCCCTCTCGGCTTGGCCTCTCCGCGGCCCTGAGGCTCTGACACTCCGAGAAGGAAGCGAGTCCCAAGAGCCGGTTCCAGACAAGGGCAGCAAGAGCTGCGGGTGTCCGGAGTTGAGGAAGCAAAGTTTGGGGCGCGGCGCACCGGGTCTGCTGAATCCCAGCTGCGGAAACCGAGTTAAGCCAACAAACAGCCTCAGTGGTGGGCGCTGTCCCTGCCCAGTCTCCCTCCACTGGCCCAGGGCCAGAGATCGGCCGCGGATGCCTCTTACCCAGGCGTGAGCGGAGCCTTCGGTCACTGCGTTGGCGCAGCAAAAACCGCCGCTCCCTTCTGGGTCTCAAGGCCTTTACCCGGGCCCCGCCCGCCCTCCAGGCGGAGGCTGGAGGCGGGGAAAGCGAGGCTCCCCCCAGGAAAGGTCCCGAAAGGTCCCGCCGTGCCCCGCCCGGCGCCGCAGCCCAGGCACCATGGTCAGTGCACATACCAGGGCTTTGAGCGCTCACGGGGCACAGAACCAGGAACAAGCGTCCATCTGGCCTGGTGCGCTGCTGGCTGGGCAGACTCGCCCCTTGCGCGCCCTGGCCCTGCAGGCTCGGGCGCACAGGCGGAGGACACCGAGGCCACCTGACGCTTCCGCCCCCTGGGTGCCAACAGCGTTTTGTAATCAGGGCAGGCAAAAGCGCAGGCGGGGCGCTGTGCAGAGAGCCCCTGGCTGTTCCCACTGGGTCCTCCTGTGTGCCCTGGGCTTCTCACCAGGTTCCCACAGCCGCCCAGAAACACAGGTATTCCCGCGCTCATTTCACAGAGAAGGTGTCCGAGGTTCAGCTTTGGCGTGCGCTGGAGCCCTTCCCTCAAAACGCGCAGGCAAGGGTAAGCTGACTTCCAGCCACTGGCCTCCACAGTGTTCCGTCCCATATTCATGACTGGACATTTTCAATTGGTAGCTCTTTCAGGTGGATGTAAAGTGTCAGTGAGTGGTTCTCCCCCATACCAGATTCAGTAACCCTTTTTACAATAAATACAGGGTGTCCCAAAAGTCTCATAACCTAAGAAGTGCAAGTGCTAGAAGCTTTCAAAAAAACAACCCTTGAAAGTTTGAGTTTCTTTTACGCTTACTTGGTTTTATGAATTTTGAATATATATATATATATATATTTGAAACACAGTCTCACTGTGTCGCCCAGGCTGGAGTGCAGTGAGTAGAGCAATCTCGGCTCACTGCAACCTCTGCCTCATGGGTTCAACCAACTCTCGTGCCTCAGCCTCCCTAGTAGCTGGGACTACAGTTGTGCACCACCATGCCCGGCTAATTTTTGTATGTTTCAGTAGAGATGAGATTTCACCATGTTGGCGAGCTGGTCTCAAACTCCTGGCCTCAAGTGATCTGCCCTCCTGGGCCTCCCAAAGTGCTGGGATTACAGGCGTGAACCACCATAACCGGCCTGAATTATTTTTAAAAATGTTTTCAACTGATACTTTCTATCTTTAATCAAAGGAACTGACTGTGTCTAGGCAAAATCATCATGAACAATATAATACAAACGCAGACTGTAGACTTTTATTGGTAACTCAATTCCATCTGCAGGATTGCTTCTGTGACATTCTGTGACATGATCTTTTCTTTTTTTTTTTTTTTTTTTTTTGAGATGAAGTCTCACTCCCTTGTTCAGGCTGGAGTGCAGTGGCATGATCTCAGCTCACTGCAACCTCCGCCTCCCAGATTCAAGTGATTCTCCTGCCTCAGCCTCCTGAGTAGCTGGGACTACAGGCATCCACCACTACCCATGGCTAATTTTTGTATTTTTAGTAGAGACAGGGTTTCATCATGTTGGCCAGGCTGGTCTTGAACTCCTGACAAAGTGATCCACCCACCTTGGTCTCCTAAAGTGCCGGGATTACAGGTATGAGCCATCACACCCAGCCAACGTGATTTTTTGAAATGGCAAATAACTCTGGTAAAGAAGCTCTGAACAAAACAAAGTATACTCTTTTCTTCCTTTATTCCAATGGAACCATTCCTGGAAATTTTAGTATATTAAAGCCATGCAAAATGCTTAATGTTTATAATTATCTGAACTAGAACCTAAATAACTTTACCAAAAAAAAAATGGTTTTTGCATACTTGAATGTTGGCACAAGGCACAGGACACCAGAAATTGTGCAGGACTCTGGACAGTTAATTGGGTTTTTGGTTTTTTTGTTTTTTTGTTTTAATTGAGACAGGGTCTTACTCTGCTACCCAGGTTTGAGTGCAATGGTGCAATAACAGCTTACTGCAGCCTTGACCTCTGGAGCTCAAACAGTCCTCCCACCTCAACCTCCCAAGTAACTGAGACCACAGGCATGTGCCACCATGCCCGACTAATTTTTTTCTAAATTTATTTATTTTTTGTAGAGATGGGGGTCTCACTATATTGCCCAGGCTGGTCTTGGACTCCTGGGCTGAAGCCATCCTCCTGCCTCAGCCTCTCAAGATGCTGGGATTAGAGGAGTGGGCCACCATGTCTGGTCAGGACAGTTCATTGTTATATGGCACTGTTCACATAGCATGGGAGGTTGGCTTCCTTGGTTCCCGCTCTCTAAATGCCAATAGACTCTGTCCCAAATTTATGACAAATAAAAAGTCCCCTCCCATATTTCCAAAATGCTTCACCCCACGTCCCAGTCCCATCACCGTCCACATCCAAGCCAAGAAGCCCTGGTTTAAATGGGAAGGATGCAGGCAGGAAGGAGTCACAGGGGATGTGCTGCCTGCTGGGTGGCTTGAGACTGATGGCTGCGGAATCAGATTCAGAGTTAAGAAACATGTCCTGGGCCGAGTGCGGTGGCTCATGCTTGTAATCCTAGCACTTTGGGAGGCTGTGGCGGGCGGATCACGAGGTCAGGAGCTCGAGACCAGCCTAGCCAGCATGGTAAAACCCTGTCTCTACTAAAAATACAAAAAAATTAGCCAGGCATTGTGGCACGTGCCTGTAGTCCCAGCTACTCAGGAGGCTGAGGCAGGAGAATTGCTTGAACCCGGCAGGCGAAGGTTGCAGTGAGCCAAGATTGTGCCACTGCACTCTAGCCTGGGTAACAGACTGAGACTCCATTAAAAAAGAAAGGAAGGAAGGGAGGGAGGGAGGGAAGGAGGGAGGGAAGGAAGGGGAGGAAGAGAGGGAGGGAGATGTCCTGACCATATCCCACATGCTGAAAGTCTCCAGTGTATTTGTTCTACTATCTCACTCAACAACCCTCCTTCCAGTGCAAAAGAGAACACTTCAAAAGAGAACAGAAGTTGTAACTTGCCCATCAGACAAGGAAGGGGACTGAGAGTTGACTCACTTACTCATGCAGTCATTCTTTCATCTGATGGATATTCTCTGAGTCCTCGCCTTCTGTGTCCAACTAGCCCTGTGCCTGCTATCTAGGCATACACTGTTGAAAAAAATCAGACTTGATTCCTACCCATGTGAAGTTTGCAGAGGAATGAAAGTGCACTTGGGGATATAGGAAACTGAAAGAAGAATCATTAAAGGGTGGGAAGTGATAGGAGGAGCTAGCACTAAGAGGAACACACCCCAATTCAAGAACATCCGGGAGAAGGAAAACAAATCCAAACCAGGGCTCTGGGAAGATCTGCAGGCACATGGGCAGAAAGGGCTGGCAACAGGAACGGGTGGAAATAGAGAATGGAACAGTGAAAGGGATCCTTATCACAAGAAAGGGAAGGCTCAGGAGGAAGATCAGAGCAAAGAGGCTGATCCTCCCGTACTGTCCTTCCTGCCTGATCAGCAAGCCCCACCCTCATCCCTTCCCTGCAGCAAACGCTTCCTGGGTGAGTAGCTAGAGAAGCAGCTCATACCCTAGCCTCCCCAGCAAACCCTCCCTAGCTGGGACAGTAACCTAGCCAAGGCTTCACAGCTGCAATGAGACTTGTGGGAGAGCTGGGAATGAGTTCCTGCTATGCATCAGGGAGCAAGCATCACAGGGTGTTTCATCCTGCCAAACCATAAGGCAGCCTCAGAACCAGATAGGCAGATGAACAGGGTGTGTTAGTTTGTTTTCACACTGCTGATAAAGACATACCCAAGACTGGGAAGAAAAAGAGGTTTAATCGGACTTACAGTTCCACGTGGCTGGGGAGGCCTCAGAATCATGGAGGGAGGCAAAAGGTACTTCTTACATGGTGGCAGCAAGAGAAAATGAGGAAGAAGCAAAAGCAGAAACTCCTGATAAACCCATCAGATCTCATGAGACTAACTCACTATCATGAGAATAGCATGGGAGAGATCAGCACCCATGATTCAATTATCTCACCCTGAGTCCCTCCCATAACACGTGGGAATTCTGGGAGATACAATTCAAGTTAATATTTGGATGTGGACACAGCCAAACCATATTACAGCATAATACTTGTGTTTTATGCCTTGCTTTTAACAGACATCCCCAACACCTCCCAATCATGCTGTTTTCCTCACAGCTAATCTGCTTATCAAATAATAACCAAAACTGCCATAGAGTTTCCTCATCTGTGTCATTGAAGGTCAAGTTGTTGTTGTTGTTGTTGTTGTTGTTGTTGTTGTTTTCAGACAAGAAGCACTAATGTATATGGAGGTTCTATCTCAATCAGCATTCTCGGTTGCAAGAAAGAAACCAGCTCTGGATGCTTTAAGTAGAAAAGGGACATTAGGCTGGGCACGGTGGCTCACGCCTGTAATCCCAGCACTTTGGGAGGCCGAGGCGGGTAGATCACGAGGTCAGGAGATCAAAACCAGCCTGGCCAAGATGGTGAAACTCCATCTCCACTAAAAATACAAAAATTAGCCAGGCGTGGTAGCAGGTGCCTATAATCCCAGCTGCTCGGGAGGCTGAGGCAGAGAATTGCTTGAACCCTGAGGCGGAGTTTGCGGTGAACCAAAATTACGCCACTGCACTCCAGACTGAGCGACAGAGCGAGAGTCCATCTCAAAAAAAAAGGAAAAATGGGGGGACATTAAAAGGCTCTCAAGGATTCACAGAACCATCAAAATGATGGGTAATGATGGGAGGAGAAATGCACAGGAATGAGGACAGCTCTGGAGAATCAAAAAGCAGAATGTACACCTTGTTTTAGCCGAAACAGCCTGGCTACCCACAGGATGCTCCCACGTCATCACAAATTACTCTAGAATGATTGACACAAATATAAAGAGAGTGAAAGTGAAAGTTCTCAGTGGGAGTTTCCAGTTGACCAACTGTATGTCAAAGGCCAGCATTGTAGCCGTCAGAGCAGGGAGAGAATGTACTTGGCCCTCTTACTTCCGCCAGAACTATTATGATGGGTATTCCTTCAAAAAATGGAAAGGGGGATTGAATACTGGCAGCAGCGGATTGGGGGAGAAAGCTGTCTACTATAGGCTCCACAAATATAAGATCTCCTTATCATATACTGTTTTCTACATATATAAACAAAGTGGTATAATAGTGAAAATTGGCCGGGCACAGTGGCTCATGCCTGTAATCCCAGCACTTTGGGAGGCCAAGGTAGGCAGATCACTTGAGGCCAGGAGTTCAAGACCACCCTGAGCAACATGATGAAACCCCACTCTACTAAAAATACAAAAAAAAAAAAGAAAAGAAAAAATTGCCAGGTGTGCTGGCACATGCCTGTAATCCCAGCTACTCAGGAGGCTGAGACATGAGAATCGCTTGAGTCTGGGAGGCACAGGTTGCAGTAAGCCGAGATCATGCCACTGTACTCCAGCCTGGGCAACAGAGTTAGACCTTGTCTCAATAATAATAATAACAATAATACTCAGTCCTAGTGCCACAAAAGGTTCTGCTAAATACATGTATTATTAGAGTACTGGAGAGCAGGCAGGGGTGTGGTTCAGGCAAGCTTAGACTCCACCCAGAAAGGTCTCCTAGGACCTAAGAAAAGTACTGGATCTAAAATCAAGTCTTTCTCAGAAATCTAGTCTCAAATTGGGTTTGGGGCAATTCTTTACACCTAAATTTTGTCGTTGTTAAAATGGAGATAAGGCCATCATCATGGTTGCTTTTGTGCTACAACAGCTGAGCTGAGCGGTTGCCACAAAGAACATATGACTTGCAAAGTCTAAAATATTTAGCCCTTTACCTGAACAGTTTGTTGACCCCGTCATAGATGCTAAAAGCATCCTTGTTGACTGTCTGCCTATTTTGCTTCTAAGTTCAAAATAGACACTATGCTCCATTAACCATTTCCACAACCCCCTGCTGGTAAAGCCCAGTGATTGCCCCTCAAACCCTGCCTTTTGGTGGGTAAGGCAATTAAAGCCTCCCCGCTTCTGGCAGTTAAGTGCCACCTCCTGGCCCCATCATGCCCACAGATGCTGACAAGCTCAGATTGTAACCGCCACTCTTTTTTTTTTTTTTTTTTTTTTTTTTTTCTTTTTTTTTGAGACGGAGTCTGGCTCTGTTGCCCGGGCTGGAGTGCACCATCGTCCCAGCCTGCAGAACTTCTTAGTGATGTTGGTGCCCTTCTCATCAGTGCATTTTGATGGCTGGGAGAACGGTGTATCTTGTGTGCCTTCTCATGGGACATATTCTCTGGTGGGTCTTTTGGCCTTATATATTTTTGAATTTTAAAATAAATATAATATCTTATTACAAAAATAGAGATGGGGATTCACTGTGTTGCCCAGGCTGGTCTCGAACTCCTGATGAGCTCAGGCAGTCCACCAGTCGCAGACTCTCAAAGTGCTGGGATTACAGGTGTAAGCTGCTGTGCCTGGCCCGGCCATATATAATATAGCCCTTCGAACACGTCCACTTCCTTCAGCCTCTTTATTCTTATCTGTACTATCTGCCTGAGTGAAGAAGGAGATTGGGGAAAAGCATTAAACTACCCAGCAGAGCTTCAGGAAAGCTAATAGGGAGTCCGTCAACCAAAGTCAGAGAAGCCCCGTGTCTTCCAGGAATGGGCCTGTCTTAGTATCCCTGCCAGCCTTAACTATTTGCTCGGAGTGGCCTGTGTAGGAAGCATGCCTGGGTGCAAATGCAGGTAGGTCTCAGAGTACAGCACCGGAGCCCTTAGGCCATTTTGCTCCCTGTGGCTGGAGGTATGTGAGGCACATTCTCCTGGCCACCATAGGAGCCCAGGATGGGTGTGACACAGCCTGATTTAAACACCAGTCTGCATCTTTAATAACAGGTCTGACTTGTAAAGTAGCACAAGCTGCTGCTCAGGATGGCACTGCTTTCAGGAGTGTCTTTTGAGTCAGTAGAATAAGAGCGCTCCAGGCAGACTGCATAGGGACAAAGTGATCTGTGTGTGCCTCACCTCCTCTCTCCCTGCTATTATACTTGTAATCCAAACAGGAAAGAAGTACTTGCCCTGACTCAGAGGCAGTCTGTTCCCTGTTCCTCCATTCTGAGAGGGTGAATTTACAGATCTTAGGATTCCTCACTTGAGGCCTAGGCTGTGAGGTGGTTAAAGGCCAAAAACAACCCACCTGCAATGAGTGCATTTGCCTGGAAGCTGCAACTGCAGCAAGAGCCATTGATGTCGCAGTACGTAATGCCAGTAAGAGTCTTAGGGATCACCTCCTGTCTGTACATTTATCCCTAAGGGAAACTGACTTTCTCCAGGGATAAAAATGTGGCTTCTAGTACTAGCTATGCTCTTTCTTCAAAGCGATAACGGTGCAAAATAGATGGAGCTGAGTGGTAGGTTACAGACCCAGAAATGCAGGCCCAGGAAGGCAGCATCAAAGGTAGATTTCTACAGATGGTGGTGGGGATGAAATGTTTCAAAATAGCCCTGCCTTAACGGGAATGTCCTAACCATCCCGGAGTTGTTAATTTCTCCTAGCAGTTTTGCCTTCCTTCTATCAGCAGCATTGTTATCTCAAGGAGACGCTCCTGAGTCAAATCTCACCCAGTTCCAGTCTCACTGTTGCTCATTTCTATCCCTAGAGGTGTGGAGTTTTAGTGGCTGTCTAGAATTAAAGCAACCTTGCAGGAAAATAACAGTTCTGTGTATCCTCACCACTAGGCTCTCTCGTAACAGAGAAACTCATGCCTCCTTCACTTTTGTTCTTCCAATATTATCAGACTGGATAAAGAAAAACAGCAGATGGATTGGTGTGGCCCCATAATTCCCCATTATGGATATAGTTTTATCAAGATATTTAAAGTAAAACTCCTAAGGTCAATTTCTATCTCTACTCCTAGGGTCTCCAACTTAAAAAAACTCACCTTTTTCCAGAAATCAAATCCCAGCCCCACCACTTATGCCCGTGTGATCCTGGGCAGTTATCAGATGCAACGTGTCTCAGCTTTCTCATCTGTAAAATGGTAATAACAGTAGTTACCTCCTAAGGTTGCTGTTATGAGATAACATGTATAAAGCAACTGGAATACAATAGCTGCTCAGCAGAGCTGGGGCTCTGAATTTTAGGTTTGAGAAGGAGCTGATGTAGATCTGGTATTAGAAATCCAGCCAAATATGAGAATAAGAAAAGAAATTGGACAAAATAAGGGAAACACCCAGCAACGAAATAAGGGAAACACTCAGGTGTGTGGCTGAGAGCAAGATTACATCTCTGTGCTGGTCATTGATATCTTCGTCCTTGTATTCCTGGATTAGCAGACATGGAAATATATAAACTGCTAAGTAGGATCCTTATTATTAAATTAAATAATGTACATTAAAACATTTTGAAAAATATAACTTACTAGAATAACCTAAAAGATGGTGACATGCTTATAGCTGCAATAAATAGAGATGTGTTAGGGACAGGAGGACAGTATGGTAAAAATGTTTGTGAAAATGTGGAAAACAAGAACCTTAGCGTAGGAATCAAATCCCATGGGAACCCAAGAAAAGTCTAGCGCTCAAGTCTCACAGAGCCCATACAGGCAAATTGGCTCAGGATCCAAGGCATTTTGAGGGAGCTGATTACTTTGTCCCCTTTCAGAAGCAGAAGTTCATCGATCCCCTACTAATCTCCACTTAATACTCATCCAGTCTCTGTCAGTATCTGTGTGCCCTCTCACTTGTTTGATTACTAAAGGGCTGACTCTCTCTGACTATTCTAGTGCATATTCCCAAGATAGTAATTGACTAAGCCATTGAGATTCCCTGCAGCCTCCATCTAGGCAGAGTTTCTCCAGCCAGACCAGTTCATCACTGACTAGCCCATGGGTTGGCTACTCTTGGGCCACGTATCCACCCCATATCCAATCAGCTAAGGCCTGACATCATAGGCTCAGATGAATAAAAGCATGGAAATACATGGGATCCCAAACATCCCAGCAAGATCTTTGGACCAGAATGTTTTTCTTAAATGACAATTCTGAGCATGACTGTTAATAGATGACAGATGAATTGATCATTAATTGATCAAAACCTCAAGCCTAACATCAAACTAGGAGACTCAAAAAGTTAGAAAATATCTTAAATCCTATAAAATGTTTCAGATAGATTGCTTTCAAGCATCTCACTGTTTAAACGAAGCTCAGACAATACAGAAAATCCTAACTTGCCTAAAAAGCTATAGTTAAAAAGGCTTAGGCCAGCCAGGAGCAGTGGCTCACACCTGTAATCCCAGGACTTTGGGAGGCTGAGGCCGGTGGATCACTTGAGGCCAGGAATTCGAGACCAGCCTGGCCAACATGGCAAAACCCCATCTCTACTAAAAATACAAAAAATTAGCGGGGGGTGGTGGTGGGCGCCTGTAGCCCAAGCTGCTTTGGAGGCTGAGGCACAAGAGTCGCTTGAACCTGGGAGACAGAGGTTGCAGTGAGCTGAGATCGCGCCACTGCATTCTAGTGTGGGCAACAGAGCAAGACTGTCTCAAAAAAGAAAAAAGGCCTAGGCCGGCTGAACTTCATCAGATCAATTGAGACAATACTAGAATTTGTAGAACTAGGGGAACAATACCACAAGATGGCAGCATTACCCCTTTTGTGCCTTGTGTTAACAAGTCTGAGAGCCGGATTATCTGTTGAGCCTACTCTCAATTTGCCCACCTCTTTCCTGAAGCTATTTTTAAGAGACCTGAGCAGCCCCTAGTTGATGGAGAAGATATAAATCTAAACAGATATGGCATCTATTTTTGTGTCCTCCAGTTCACTCATTATCCCTGAGCTCATTTTATTTCTAAAATCTCAGAACCTGTTATCATTATTTTTTAGTCTAACTAAATACATAATTAGTCATGGAAGCAGTGGCTTATATTATCCAAGGATTACAAGCTCCTTAGCAATGTCTGAATTGCAGAAATTCAATTTTTTAATTGTAATATTCTTTATTTGGCATTTATATAATCCGATTTTTCATTATAGCCTTTTAAAATCTATGTATATTTCTTTCCTACAAGATTCAATTCAAGCCCAAAATACATATTGAAAACCAATTATGAATGTTAATTTTATGTGGGAACTTGGATAGGCCATGGTGCCCAGTATCTGGCCAACTACCAGTCTAGATGTTGCTGTGAAAGTATTTTTAAATGAGATTAAATTTAATTCAGTAGACTTAGAGTGAAGGAGATTGTCCTCCATAATAGTGGGGGCCTCATCCAAGCAGTTGAAGGCTTTAAGAGAAAAAGACTGAGATCCCCAGGGAAGAGGAAATTCTGCCTCCAGACCGCCTTCGGACTCAAACTACAACATTGACTCCTCCCTGGGTTTTCAGCTGTTGGCTTGCCCTACAAATTTCAGACTTGCCAGCCCTCACAATAAACTATAGATAGACCAGACACCGCACCATGGAATACAAAGATAATTAAGAAATATCTTGGGCTGTGTGCCTGTAATCCCAGCTACTCAGGAGGCTGAGGCAGGAGAATCGCTTGAACCCAGGAGGCAGCGGTTGCGGTGAGCCAAGATCGAGCCACTGCACTCCAGCCTGGCGACAGAGCAAGACTCCATCTCCAAAAAAAAAAAAAGAAAAAGAAAAAGAAATATCTTTGATCATATGTTAGGAAAACTCCCTACTGGAACCAATAATGGCCTCCATAAGCGGAGGGCAAGCTCAGACCAAAGAAAGAAGCAGACCATTCCAGGTTGGTAGGTAGCCAAAAATTTATTCAGGGGAAACTTACATAGTAGGCAGTCTTGGGCAGCAGCAAGACGAGGTACATCTCAGGACTTGCAATATACACCTTACCTTTTATACCGTGAAAATGAAAGTGCGCAGAAAGTCTCTGATGACATGTTAAGCAATCTGGTTGCTTTCTTAATCTATTTACTCTAGTTACCTTTTATCTATTTACCTCCTACTTACAGGGACTGTTTGGGTTCCCTACAATCAACTTTCCTAAGCATGCTGGGCAGAGGGTAGGACTGCAGGGGAATGGGGTTGGGGGAGGTTCCAGGCAGCAGCAGTTCACTGCTTCCTACGACTCACTTCAGTCATACCCAGAACACATCTGAAAAACACATGAACACAAAACTAATACTGTAAGCGTTAAGGCAATGTATTATGAAAGTACTGTGGGAACACAGAAAAATGAATTCTTTGGGTGGCAGTGAGAAAAACCATAAAGAGGTGCCATTTGACTTGCAAAGAATAAACAAGTGTCCAACAGGCAGACATTATAGGCAGTGAACACTCCAATGAGCAAAAATAGATGTGCAAAAGGTGGCAAAATAGTCCCCCATGTAGATATGTGACTTCTCCCTCTTCTCCTTCTTCTCCTTCTTCCTCCTCTTCTTCTTCTTCTTCTTCCTCTTCTTCTTCTTCTTCCTCCTCCTCCTCCTCCTTCTTCTTCTTTCCTCCTCCTCTTTTTTTTTTTTTTTTGTTTTGGTAGAGATGGGGTTTCACTATGTTGCCCAGGTTGGTCTCAAACTCCTGAGCTCAAGTGATCCTCCTGCTTCAGCTTCCAAAAGTGCTGGGATTATAGGTGTGAGTCATCATGCTCGGTTTCAATCTGACTTGAGTTCATAATCCTAACCACTATATTACTAAGGCAACTATATGCTTTAAAATTTTTAACTTTATAATCAAAGGGAAGGCTAGGAACCTTCAGGTTTATAGACATATTTTTGTTTCTTAGTATTCCCTTGTCTTTTTTTTTTTTTGAGATGGAGTCTCACCGTCACCCAGGCTGGACTGCAATGGGACCATCTTGGCTCACTGCAACCTCCGCCTCCCAGGTTCAAGCGATTCTCCTGCCTCAGCCTCCCGAGTAGCTGGGATTACAGGCATGCACCACCACGCCTGGCTAATGTTTTGTATCTTTAGTAGAGATGGGGTTTCACCATGTTGGCCAGCCTGGTCTCGAACTCCTGACCTTGTGATCCACCCGCTTCGGCCTCCCAAAGTGCTGTGTTTACAGGCATGAGCCACCGCGCCAAGCCTGTAGTCCCTTGTACTGTTTAACTGTCTCTTCTAATGGACTAATAAAAGTCAGACCAAAAATAAGAGTGAAAATCATTCTCAGAGTGATTTTCAGCCCATCCTTATCAGGATTTGAACATTGCAGGCTTCCTAGAGCTCATTAGGAATATATTTATGGTCTAAACCAGGATGAACAGCTACAAACTTTTCCTCCATTTACAATAAAGTGACAGTAGGGGGCGACTTTTTGTTACTTTTAACCAAAAATAGGTGGCTTCTGTTTATTGTTCTTTACATGCCTGCAGGCCTCCCTTATTCAGGGTACATACATGAAGCATAAATTACCTTGACCTTCCACGTTGGCCTAGGCCTGTTGTTTTCTCTTTCTCAATCACCACCCCCATCCCATCCCAAATTTTACCCACCTTCTCTTTGATTGCCCTTCTTTTACATTGTGTTTCTTTGGAATTTTTGCTTTAAGTGCTTTTCAAATTGCAGTCATTAGAACTGTCTCTCTTGATTACTCACTTCATTCTCTTACAGGTTTTGAAAATAAACCTAGTCTCACTCAAATGCTAACCTGAAGACTAAATGGCATTTGACCTCATACATACAAACTGAGCTAAAACAGTAGGAATAAACTTGTAATCCCAGCACTTTGGGAGGCCGAGGCAGGCGGATCACGAGATCAGGAGATCAAGACCACCCTGGCTAACATGGTGAAACCCGTCTCTACTAAAAATACAAAAAATTAGCCGGGCGTGGTGGCGGGCACCTGTAGTTCCAGCTACTAGGGAGGCTGAGGCAGGAGAATGGTGTGAACCCGGAAGGTGGAGCTTGTAGTGAGCTGAGATCACGCCACTGCACTTCAGCCTGGGCGACAGAGCAAGACTCTGTCTCGGAAATAAAAAATAAAAAACAGTAGGAATCAACTAGCAACAGAACAAATCTTAAATATCTGATTAATCTGAACGAACCTATATGGGAACTATCTTCATCAAAATAAATATTTAGAAACAAAGTAACTTTTTAAATATGTGCACAATGAGGCTTGGAGGTTTAATGATCAAGAATCACCGCTTTGTAGGAAATTTTATAGATTCATCATATGAATCTGATGAAATCTGTAGACCCAATCCTGGGAAATACACATACAGAAAATTCTGTGATACAATTATAAGGGTTTGTGTCCCCTCCAAAAGCCATTCACAGAAGTTCCTCCCTCTGGGATCCAAAAACTCCAAGGTTAAAAAAATTAAAAATCTGGATGAAGGGGTCCTAGCACACCACAATCACGTCTATTATGTCCTATAATGGAGGGCCTGTCATGGCCATGAAGAGGAAGAACTGTGTGGCTATCGCCGCAGACAGATGCTTCAGGATCCAGGCCCAGATGGTGACCACGGACTTCCAGAAGATGCTGTTCATGGTTGACTGGCCATACACCGGTCTAGCTGGACTTGCCACGGACGTCCAGACAGTTGCCCAGTGCAAGTTCCAGCTGAACCTGTATGAGTTGAAGAAAGGTTGGCAGACCAAACCTTACACTCTCATGAACATAATGGCGAACCTCTTGTATGAGAAACAGTTTGGTCCCTACTATACTGAGCCAGTCATTTCTGGGTTGGACCCAAAGAGCTTTAAGCCCTTCATTTGCTCTCTCAATCTCATCGGCCGCCCCATGGCAACTGATGACTTTGTGGTCAGTGGCACCTGCGCCAAACAAATGTACAGAATGTGCAAGTCCCTCTGGGAGCCCAGCATGGATCCAGAACACCTGTTTGGAAGCATCTCGGCCAGGCGCAGTGGCTCACCCCTGTAATCCCAGCACTTCGGGAGGCCGAGGCGGGCAGATCACGAGATCAGGAGATCGAGGCCATGGTGAAACCCCGTCTCTACTAACAATACAAAAAATTAGCCGGGCGCAGTGGTGGGTGCCTGTAGTCCCAGCTACTTGGGAGGCTGAGGCAGGAGAATGGTGTGAACCCAGGAGGCAGAGCTTGCAGTGAGGGATCGCGCCACTGCACTCCAGCCTGGGCGACAGAGCGAGACTCCCTCTCAAAAAAAAGAAAAAAAAAGCATCTCTCAAGCCATGCTGAATGCGGTTGACCGGGTTGCAGTGTCAGGCGTGGAGTTGTTGTCCACATCATTGAAAAGGACAAAATCACCACCAGGATTGAAGGCCTGAATGGACTAACCCTGTTCCCAGAGCTCACTTTTTTTTTTTTTTTAAATAAAATATCCTTAAAAAAAAAAAAAGTTAAAAATCTGACCTGAAATATTCTATAAGTTTGAAATTTTCATTTTTTATAAGTCATACATGCAGGGATCCTTCTGAAGCACTTTCTACCTATCAAACTACTAATAGTAGGTATTATTTTTGTTCTCAAAGAAAAGTGAAAACCTTTATGAAATTGGTTTGACTAGAATCTTTTCACACTATTTTTTTTGCGGGGCTGGGGGATGGAGTCTTGCTCTCGCTCTGTCACCCAGGCTGGAGTGCGGTGGCATGATCTCAGCTCACTGCAACCTCCACCTCCTGGGTTCAAGAGCTTCTCCTGCCTCAGCCTCCCAAGTAGCTGGGATTACAAGCACACCACCACACCCTGCTGATTTTTGTATTTTTAGTAGAGACAAGGTTTCACCATGTTGGCCAGGCTGGAGGCTGGTCTCGAGCTCCTGACCTCCAGTGATCCAACTGCCTCCCAAAGTGTTAGGATTACAGGCATGAGCCACTGTGCCCAGTCTCTATCCTTTTTTTTTTTTTTTTTTTTTTTGGATACAGCATCTCACTCTGTCACCCAGGCTGGAGTGCAGTGGCGTGACCTTGGCTCACTGCAACCTCTGCCTCCCATTTCAAGTGATTCTCCTGCAGGCATGCACCACAACACCCGGCTAATTTTTGTAATTTTTGTAGAGACAGGGTTTTACCATGTTGGCCGCGCTGGTCTCGAACTCCTAGCCTCAAGTGATCTGCTTGCCTTGCCCTTCCAAAGTGCTGAGATTACAGGCATAAGCCACCGCCCCTCCCCTTTTTATCACCTTTCTAAAATAAATTTCATGAGTGGACCCATAATTTTGTGACACAATAGATGGAGAACATTAAGAGAAAGATAACAGGTGAGAAGAGAAGATAGTAGAATGTTCGAAATAATGTACATGAAGGGGAGTATATAGTGCTATGCACAGAAGGATGCTTGCTAAATGATATCAGATAATTCAGAGACTTTTTTTATTAAATGTGTAAAAAGCAGTTCTCATGTTACAAGCTCAAAATCAGATGAATGTATGAGGGTATATAATTGGTATATTTATAAACTGTATCACCCAAAAACTCAATGAGGACACAATCTACATTACATTCAACATTTGCATATTTACATGATATATACTGCAAAGTAAATACAAAATGAACTCCCATCATTTTAGTTCAGAACACAGGTGATATAATTTGAAAACAAAAGCAATTTTTTCAACAAAAGAGAGAAGTCTCCCAAGTACCAATTCACTATTTTGTGGAAAAATACAAGACTAATTATGAGTTCCATTCCAGTTTAGTCAGTAAGATACCTTGTTTGTTTGTTTGTTTTGTTTTTAGAAACAGGGTCTCTCTCTGTCATCCGGGCTGAAGTTCAGTGGTGCGACCAGAGTTCACTGCAGCCTTGAACTCCTGAGCTCAAAGAATCTTCCCACCTCAGCCTCCCAAAGCACTGGGATTACAGGTGTGAGCCATCGCACTCAGTCTAGTAAGATATGTTTTTGTTACTGAAATACAGCTAAAGTTTTGGATTTTAATCACCAAAATAACAGTACTTCTGGTTTACAATTGACTTTAAAATAGAGGATACTAATATATATTTGTTTTCACTTTTTAAAAAATCTTTAAAACTTAAATACAATTCTGAAAGTATTTGTGCCTTGCCATTTGTTCAATAAATATGATTTGTTTTTAAACACATCACAAAAGTTCAATTAACTAACCAGAATTCTATATCTATAGCCTGTCTACTGGGGTTCAGTCTTAAGTCTGACTATCAAAAGCAGCAGCTCAGAATTTATTTCATAAAATTAATCCCAAGAGTTACTGGGTAGCTTTTAAAGTATCTCATTGCTTATAACACAACTCACTAGATAGATAGTCTATACTAGTGACTCCTGACATCAAAATTATCTGGGGAGCTTTTAAAAAAATACATGGGATCCACATCATAACTACACTAAGAATCGAGAATGTCTGTACTTTTTTTTAACGTTCCCAGGTGATAATGCCATGCAGCCTAGTGTGGGAAACCCCGACCTACCACTAAGCCTGTGGTTCTCAACTTTTCAGGTGCACTGGAATCACTGAGGGAAACTTTAAACACAAAAAGCAAAGCAACACACAGAAAAGAGATGTGCTTCAGTAGATGGAGAGTCATGTGCAGGAACCAGCATTTTAAACAACCACGCAGTTGGTCCCAAATAACTCAGAAACACTGCACCACCTTTGTCAGATATCATATTATAATGAGTACATTCAGCAATTAGGTGACATTGTCCACAAGCCCCAATGAATCCTGCTCTAGGCAGTTTTAGCAAGTGTTTGAGGGCAACACTCAGCCTTTTCAAGTAAAATATATTTATATTCTTAAATATTAGGTCAAAGTCAACTGAATTCTGAGACCATCATTCATTAAAGAAGGCAAATGCTCTTTCCAACAATTTAAACCTTTAAACAAACCAGTTCTTAGCCCTCAACTTAAACCTAATGCTTTCTCCATCATTAGTCTGATATATGTGATCAGAGGTAGTGATTCCATCTTACCAAAAATGTATTGTGGACTATAAAAGATACACATTCATACATCTTCACAGGCTCTGTACAGTCCCTATGTAATGGAGATTGGAGACCACTTGGATATTAAATAATACTGTGAAACAGTAAACAACACACTCTTGATTTTAAACAATGAAACCTCATAATATTTCCCTCAAACAATAAGTTCTTACATACAATATACAAAAAAAAATTCTAGAAAACACTAAACGTATCATGCTGCCTCTTTTGTGAAGTTATTTACTAGTTTTTCACCATCCCTGTAATTATCTATAAAGTCAATAGTTGGTGTACATCATTCCACTTCAAGAAATTTTCTAGTTTTTTTTTTTTTTGAGACAGAGTCTTGCCCTGTCACCAAGGCTGGAGTGCAGTGGTGCATCTTGGCTCACTGCAACCTCTGCCTCCCAGGTTCAAGCGATTCTCCTGCCTCAGCCTCCTAAGTAGCTGGGACTACAGGTGCCTGCCACCACACCCAGCCAATTTTTGTATTTCTCGTAGAGACGGTGTTTTACCATGTTGGCCAGGATGGACTCAATCTTTTGACCTCGTGATCCGCCCACCTTGGCCTCCCAAAGTGCTGGGATCACAGGCGTGAGTCACCACGCCCGGCCTCACTTCAAGAATTTTTTTTTTTTTTTGAGATGGAGTCTCACTCTGTCACCCAGGCTGGAGTGTGGTGGCCGGATCTCAGCTCACTGCAAGCTCCGCCTCCCGGGTTTACGCCATTCTCCTGCCTCAGCCTCCCGAGTAGCTGGCACTACAGGCGCCCGCCACCTCGCCCGGCTAGTTTTTTTGTATTTTTTAGTAGAGATGGGGTTTCACTGGGTTAGCCAGGATGGCCTCGATCTGCTGACCTCGTGATCCGCCCGTCTCGGCCTCCCAAAGTGCTGGGATTACAGGCTTGAGCCACCACGCCCGGCTAAGAATTTTTTACAAGCACAGAAAGTATATCTCAGTGTATGATAACTGTTATTATAATACTATATTGTATTATAAATATACAAGCTCATTTGAGTGTGTGATAGCTCCCCCACCTCCACCAAGCTTTAGGAATAGATATAATCTACTTTGAACCCAAAAGCTACAGAAAGCAGTGACAACGACGCTAAGAAGCTGAGAGAGTATATGGTTAGTAGAATCTATCTGGCATCATCTGAACTACACCTAAAGTGCTGTTATTTCTCCTGCATGCACTTCTCCATTATGTTCTTCACAAAGGCTCATCTCTTCTCCATAAGCCACCATGGCCAGCCCACAAACCAAACTATTTTTAATGTTCAACAGAAAAGAAAGGTAGCCAACAAGTTCCTTATTTTTGTTAATTCCTTGTTTGTTATAATAAGGAGTATCACTTCCTCTCACCAAAAAGCTATAGAATTCAACTGTTCAAAAGGCTCACTCACCTCTTTTCCAGGGGTAGGTGTGATTAAACAGCTGGCATTTCTTCTTAACTAAGTAATGAAAAGGCAATTACTAAAACATCAGCATTGTATTACCAGAAAGGCAAGTCATTTCATAAAATAAGAACTGGAGAGTTTTAAATCTGTATTCATCAAGAAGCTAAAAAATTCATACTAATTTTTAACCACTTAGAGTTTTGACTCACAATAATCAAACCATTTTCCGGTTTATAAATAATTCAAGATCAAAATAATAAATTTTAAAATTAAGCAGAATTTGAAAAACTTACATATAAATATCAAAAACCAAGCAACATGACGTCTGCTACTTGGAAAAAAGGCATGGAGACACAGTAATACCGGAATAAGGATTTCAACATATGACATAATGGCATAAGGCACTACCTCAACTTCAGTCTACATTAAGTCATCATAACCCAAATATGGGACAGGAGAAGAAAACACACAAACACAACTTTTCATGTCCTTTTGGCTGGTCTGGCAGTTAACTGCTTTTCTCTTTCAAACTCCTTCTCTCGTTGCTGCTCCCTTTCCAACTCTTCTTTTTGCCTCTTCTGCTGCAGTTTAAGCGCTCTTTTCTGTGTTAAAAAAAAATTAAAAACCAAGAGAGCAATCAGGAGTTACAGGTATGGTCTAATTTGAAAATAATAGAGCTCTGCTTTGAGGCAATTCATTCACACTAATAAATTTCATCTTGGACATTTAAATTTGGGATAATTTAAGGTCCTTTTGATTCAAAACAAATGTGTTGCTCTAAGCTGTTATTAAATGAGAAACTGTAGTGCATATCCAGAGAATCCAAGCCTATCAACCCAGCTATTGGTAAAAAAGCTCAGTGTGCAGTTCAAAACAACATGACATCTTTTAGGCTGCATGCGGCGGCTCATGTCTGTAATCCTAGAACTTAGGGAGGTCGAGGCCAGAGGGCTCTTGAGTTCAGGAGTTTAAGACCAGCCTCGGCAACATAGTGAGACCCTGTCTCTAATATTTCATAAACAATGACAGTTTTTAAAAGAAAACAATGTACCATGAATTAATTATGCTATTGTAAATGAGGGTATAAAAGTCAAAAGAAGAATACTGGCCGGACACAGTGGCTCACACCTATAATCCCAACACTTTGGGAGGCCAAGGCGGGCGTTACCACCTGAGGTCAGGAGTTTGAGAACAGCCTGGCCAACATGATGAAACCACGTCTCTACTAAAAATGCAAAAATTAGGTGGGTGTGGTGGCGGGCGCCTGTAATCCCAGCTACTTGGGGGGCTGAGGCAGGAGAACCCGGGAGGCAGAGGTTGCAGTGAGCCGAGATCGCACGATTGCACTCCAGCCTGGATGGCAAGAGCAAAATTCCGTCTCAAAAAAAAAAAAAAAAAAACGACAATTAAACTTCTACTTTTGTAAAGAATGTGAAAGAATTTTCAACTCACTTTTAACTTTGATGTTTTTTCATGAAGCATCAGCATCTCTTTTCTTATATTCACCAACTTGGCATGGTAGTGTTTAGCCTCAGCAAACTTAACGTGGAAAAATAAATGAAAAGTCAAGTTAAAATAGACTAAAATATCAAAATGAATAAATAAGGCAATATATAAATGACAGTTCATGCTTCCTAAATTGGTCAAAATTTTTACAGCCTTATCTCAACATTTTAATTCCAAAATAAAGATTTCCTTATATCATTAGTAGGATTTGAAAGACATTTGATTTAGTTCAGATTGACAAAAGTGTTACTAAACATAAAATAGACATTTATATTAAGATGGGAATAGACAATATTTTGCTTTAAAAACATGTAATTATAAAATTTCAGATAAGATTATCTAATAACGCTATCAGTTTTATTTAAGAAAAGTGAAGCATTCTCTCTGCCTTTACAAGAGAGAGACTGAGCCAGAGCACATGAAATAGTTTAAGTGAAGTGTCTGTCCATATGGAAAACCCAAGCTGTGGCCACAGAGCCCTGAACAGAAGGACTGTGGACAAGTTTAATCCTATTCCTTGGGCTCTCTTAGTCAGACTAAGCAGAATGATCTCTGTGAGGACACTTTCATTCTCGAGGAATCATAAGTACAGACTTACAACTCAGCCAACCTGCATAATCTAAAATGAAGTCTTATGTCAGGAGAAGATGGGAGGATAATGCAAGCCTAGAGATGTCACAGAGAAGGAGAAAAGCACTCTATTTTCAGACAAGGTTACAGAAAGAGAAGAAATGAAAGAAATATCAGTAGAGAGATTCACAGCCTTAATGTAGCTGCAAGTAAAGTCACTGTCTGATTAGCTCAGAAGTTACAGTCCCTTTTTACATATCCTGGGCCTTCCAGTTTTCAGTTCCCAGATGATAATAAAAACTACTCTTGATTAAGCGAAGAAAAAAGAGGAAGACTCCATCCTGCCCCTTCAGATCAAAGCAACAGTATTACATCTGCTTGGTTAATTCATTCAACATTCATTCATTCAACAAATATTCCTTCTGTTGCAACAGGATCTCACTGGGGAACACAAAAGTAGGTCAGTGTAGCCTTGCCCACCTCCCTCACAAGAAACCAGGAACTACCAGGCAGATGACTCTGTATTTACTTCCATAGGCCTCTGTCTAATGCCAGAGAATATGAACTTTGTTTTTAATTGCTATAAATGGAAAACATGAGTAAACCATCTTTGTCCAAAGAAAAGTCAATTTTTTGAGGTGTGCATGAATGGCTACAGTCATGCAAACCCAGCTTCTTTTTTTCTTAATAGAGATGGGGTCTTGCTATGCTGGCCGGGTTGGTCCTAAACTCCAGGCCTCAAGCCACCTTCCTACTTCAGCCTCCCAAAGTGCTGGGATTACAGTCATAAGTCACCATGCCCCGCCCACAAACGAAACTATTTTTAATGTTCATCAGAAAATAAAGGTAGCAACAAGTTCCCTTTTTGTTAATTCCTTGTTTCTTATAATAAAGAGTATCACTTCCTCTCATCAAAAAGCTATAGAACTTCTGATGAAATTTAACTGTTCAACTATTTATATTGAAAGCTATAATTGATCGTTCTCAGTGTCCACTGCAGCTGATGGCATTAATTTATTATAGCATTATGAATATGCCATATAATTAAAATGCTAATTTAAGGAACCATGTAATTGGTAAAGAGAAATAAACTTTCTTTAAAGAAAAAAAAATGGTATCCCAAAGGTTCTTTACTTCCAGTTAGTTTTTTTTTTTTTTGAAACAGGGTCTCCCTTTGTCACCCAGGCTGGAGTACAGTGGCACAATCACAGCTCACTTGTGGCCTCAACCTCCTAGGCTCAAGCAATCCTTCCACCTCAGCTCCTGGAATAGCTGAGACCACAGGCATCTGCCACCATGCCGGGCTATTTTTTTAAATTACTTTTTGTAGAGATGGGTTCTCACTATGTTGCCCAGGCTGGTCTTGAACTGCTGGGCTCAAGCAATCCTCCAGCCTCAGCCTCCCAAAGTGCCGGGATTACAGGCATGAGCCGTTGTACCCAGTCTCAGTCCTCTTTTCTAAGTCTTCAATTATGAGCAGGTCTATTCTAAATGCACAAATAAGTTCAACTTCTACAAATTACTACAATTTCTAAATTACTACAACTACTAAATTTAGTAGTTGAATTACTACAAATTCAACATTTGAAAGATAATTCAACACAATACAAGTTCAATCAAGGTTTCTTGTTAAAAAGACAAATTCTAAACTTAAAATCTAGCTATTGCTAAGATAAGATGTCATTAAGTTACATCAACTAAATCATACTTACCAAAGCATTAATATCCAACATAGAATGACATTCTTTAAATTTTGAAATCTCTTGTTCCAGCGTGTCTAACAATACAACTTGGTTCTGTCTGAAACAAAAACACACAGTCAAGACAAACTCTACATATTTAAAATACTGGCCCATTAAAAGGAATCATATTCATCTTGGTTAATCGTAACAGACGTTAAGTAGGAAACATATTAACTCTCCAAGGTTTATTTAATATAGAATAGGATTTTTCAAAATAATATTCTAAAGCCACATTCTGATAACTTATTGTGTCTTTTATTATTGCTTCAATTTCTAATAACTAAAATAATCCAATCATTTAAAAGTATTTTATTACCTGTTACTTTTAACAACTCTCTGTATTATTCCAGAAAAGAAGTTTTTTGTAGTATTTTGAATTTTGTAGAAATTCAATGTTTTATATATCTTAAAATTGCAACATTCCCATAAAGGAAATAAGGAACAATGGTTTTTCAGATTAGAGTTGAAAAAGATGCAGTATCAAGGGATAGTAAGTCAAAAAAGATAATTAAGCAGCAAGATGAAAAAAGCATAGGACTGGAAATCATAGCTTTCCCCAGCCAACAGCCAGTTATGTGATCTTAGAAATTCAGTTTATTGGCCGGGCGCGGTGGTTCAAGCCTGTAATCCCAGCACTTTGGGAGGCCGAGACGGGCGGATCACGAGGTCAGGAGATCAAGACCATCCTGGCTAACCCGGTGAAACCCCGTCTCTACTAAAAAATACAAAAATCTAGCCGGGCGAGGTGGCGGGCACCTGTAGTCCCAGCTACTCAGGAGGCTGAGGCAGGAGAATGGCGTGAACCCGGGAGGCGGAGCTTGCAGTGAGCTGAGATCCGGCCACTGCACTCCAGCCTGGGCGACAGAGCGAAACTCCGCCTCAAAAAAAAAAAAAAAAAAAAGAAATTCAGTTTATTTCTCTGGCCTAAGTCTCCTCTTTTACAAAGTGAGAAGGTCAGACCAGATAATTTCTAATGTTTCTCTTTAAAATTAGGATTCAAAACTCATTGAGGAAGAGAAGCCAACTTCCTTGATATTTCTTTCCACATCAATCAATGTTAGGATCACAGGAATAAGTGACATTAAAAGGGTCACCTACCTGAATATTTTAAAGAATGCTACAAAGAAAAATATGATGTGATTTGCTTGTAAAACTGTGCTATCTAGAGAATAATGATAAAAAAAGAAATAGCAGGCCGGGCGCGGTGGCTCACGCCTGTAATCCCAGCACTTTGGGAGGCCGAGGCGGGCGGATCACAAGGTCAGGAGATCGAGACCATGGTGAAACCCTGTCTCTACAAAAAATAGAAAAAATTAGCCGGGCGCGGTGGCGGGCGCCTGTAGTCCCAGCTACTTGGGAGGCTGAGGCAGGAGAATGGCGTGAACCTGGGAGGCGGAGCTTGCAGTGAGCCGAGATTGCGCCACTGCACTCCAGCCTGGGCGACAGAGCTAGACTCCGTCTCAAAAAAAAAAAAAAAAAAAAAAAAAAAAAGAAATAGCAACGAAGAGGCTGAGGGCAATCACAACATCTCTACTATCCAGCACTGAGTCTGGCATACCCTACAGGTCATGAATTTGTCTCTTGGCCAGGCACAGTGGTTCATGCCTATAATCCCAGCATTTTGGGAGGCCAAGGAAGGAGGATTCCTTGAAGCCAGGAATTCGAGACCAGCACGGACAACAAAGCGAGACCCTCTACAAAAACTAAAAAAAAAAAAAAAAAATTAGCTGGGCGTGGTGGCACACACCTGTGGTCCGAGCTACTTGGGAGGCTGAGGCAGGATTGCTTGAACCCAGGAGTTAGAAGCTGCAGTGAGTTATAATCACACCACTGTACCACAGCCTATGTGACAGAGTGAGACCCCGTCTCTACAAATATAAATAAATAAATAAATAACTTTGCCCCTCCAGCTTGGACTAGAGATCACAGAAAGTGAAATACAGAATGGATGAGAGGAAAACCCAGCAAGTCAACCATCCAAGATAAGCAGAACAGCAAAAATAGGCTGTTAGAACTAGAAAACAATACAAGGGGGAATACCAAAAAAATCAGTGAAACGAAAAGATGGTTCTCTAAAAGATCAATAAAATTGATAAACCTCTAGTGAGACAATCGAGAAAAAAGAAGACCCAAAGTATTAGTATTATTCATGAAAGAGCAATAATCACCACTGATCCCAAGACATTAAAAGGATAATAAATGAATACTTTCAACAATTCGGTGCTCATAAATGTGATAATGTGGATGGAATGGACTAATTCTTTGAAAGATACAAACTACCAAAACTTACACAAGGAGAAACAGAAAGTTTATGTAGGCCTATATTTATTAGACAAATTCATTCAGTAAGTAATAACCTTCCAAAAAAGACAATGCCAGGACCAAATGGCTTCACTGGTAATTTTTACCAAACATTTAAGGAAGAAATGATACCAATTCCCCACAGTCTCTTCCAGAAAATACATCAGCCCTCTTTTATCTGCAGTTTTGCTTTCTTCAGTTTGAAGAGGGGTCTCACAACTCCTATTCAACATCATACGTTAAGTCCAAACTCATACAGTAAGACAAGAAAAAGAAATAAAAGATATACAAACTGAGAAGAAAGAAATAATACTGGCTTCGTTCCCAGACGATTTCCTATGTGGAAATTCCCAAAGATTCAACAAGAAACCTCCTGAAACTAATATGCAAATATAGTAAGATTTCAGGATACAAGGTTAATATACAGAAGTCAATTTCTTTCCTGTGTACCAGCAATTAATTTGAAATTTAAAAACAATACCATTTATAGTAGTTCCCCACCCCCAGTGAAATACTGTGGTACAAATATAACAAAATATGTACAGAATCTAAATGTAAAAATTATAAAACTCTAATGAAAAATATCAAAGAAAATCTAAATAATAGAGAGACATTCCAAGTACATAATAGATTAAAAGACTCAACTGTTGTTGTTCAGATAGGGTCTGACTCTGTCATCCAGGCTGGACTGCAGTGGCATGATCATCATTCACTGCAGCCTAGAACTCCTGGTTCAAGGGATCCTCTGCCTCAGCCTCCCAAGTAGCTATCACTACAGGTGTACACCACCATGCCAGGTTGACTTTTTAAATATTTTTGTAGAGACAAGGTCTCATTACATTACCCAGGCTGGTCTCCAACTCCTGGCCTCAAGCCATCCTTCTGCCCCAGGCTCCCAATGTGCTTGGATTACCAGTGTCAACCACCACGCCCAGCCCATCAATATTTTTTAAGATGTAAATTCTTCTCAACTTGATCTAAGGATTCAATGCAATGCCAATCAAAATCCCAGCAAGTTATTGTATAGATATCAACAAACTGTTTGAAAGTTCATATGGAAAGGCAAAGACATAGAAAAGCCAACACAATATTGAAGAACAAAACTCGAAGACTCACAGTACCCAATTTCAATACTTACTACAAAGCTACAGAAATCTGGCCAGGCACAGTGACTCACTCCTATAATCCCAGCACTTTCGGAGCCCAAGGTGATCACCTGAGGTCAGGAGTTCAAGATCAGCCTGGCCAACATGGTGAAACCCCATCTCATGAAAAATACAAAAATTAGCCCGGTGTGGTGGCATGCACCTGTCATTCCAGCTACTTGGGAGGCTGAGGTGCAAGAATCAACCTCCCAGAGGCAGAGGTTGCACTGAGCTGAGATCGCGCCACTGCATTTCAGCCCAGGCAACAGAGTGAGACCCTGTCTCAAAAAAAAAACAAAAAAAAACAAAAAAAACACAACAACAACAACAACAAAAAGCTACAGAAATCAAGACAGCATGGTACTGGCAAAAGAACAAACATATTGATCAATGGAACAGAACAGAAAACCCTTAAATAAATCTACACAAAAACAATCAACTTCTCTTTGACAAAGGTGCAAAGGCAATGCAGTGGAGAAAGGATAGTCTTTTCAACAAATAGTGGCTGGGTACAGTGGCTCATACCTGTAATCCCAGCACTTTGGGAGGCCAAGGCAAGAGGATCACTTGACCCTAGGAATTCAAGACCAGCCAGGGCAACATGGTGAAACCCTGTCTCTACAAAAAATACAAAAATTGGCCAGGTGTGGTGCTGTGCGCCTGTAGTCCCAGCTACTTGGGAGGCTGAGGTGGGAGGATCACTGAGCCAGGAAATCAAGGCTACAGTGAGCTGAGGCTGTGCCACTGCACTCCAGCCTGGGCAACAGAGTGAGACCCTGTCTCAAACAACAACAACAACAAATGGTGCTGAAGCAACTGGCTATCCATGCACAAAGAAATGAATCTATTAATAAACACAGACCTTACAGCCTCCATAAAAATTAACTCAAAATAGGCTGGGCGCAGTGGCTCACGCCTGTAATCCCAACACTTTGGGAGGCCGAGGCGGGCAGATCACCTGAGGTCCAAGACCAGCCTGACCAACATGGAGAAATCCCATCTCCACTAAAAGTACAAAAAGTAGACAGGCGTGGTGGCGCACGCCTGTAATCCCAGCAGCTCAGGAGGCTGAGGCAGGAGAATCGCTTGAACCCAGGATGCGGATGTTGCGGTAAGATGAGATCGTGCTATTGCACTACAGCCTGGGCAACAAGAGCGAAACTCCGTCTCAAAACAAAAAAAAACTAACTCAAAATAAATCACAGGTCTAAATGTAAAATGCAAAACTAGAACTTCTAGAAGAAAACACAGGAGAAAATCTAGGTGACCTTGGTTTGGTGATGAGTTTTTAGATACAATACCAAAAGCACAATTCATAAAAGAAAACACTGATTAATTTTTTCTTATTTATTAAATAAATTTATTAAAATTAAAAACTCCTGCTCTGCCAAAGACACTGTAAAGAGGGTAATAAGACAAACCACAGTCTTGGAGAAAATATATGCAAAACTCATAAAGGACTCATATCAAAAATATACAAAGAACTCTTAAAACTCAACAATAAGAAAAATAATCCAATTTTAAAATAAGCAAAAGATCTGAACAGACACCTGTTATCTAACAAAGAATTTGTCTGATCTTTGTCCCAGGTTTCTGGCACAGAGCTTCTAAAATCCTTGGAATTTTCCAAGTGACAGAAGTGTCTTTGTTATCCATGAGCTCCCTTGATCACACGTGAGTTTACACTAACAAAGTGACTCATGATGGGCCCCTAGAGCTTCAAGATGGGAGACTAATGAAAAATAACAAAGAACATCTAAATAATAGAGACATTCCAAGTACACAGATTAAAAGACTGAATTTTTGTTGTTGAGATAGGGTCTCACTCAGTCACCCAGGCTAGGGAGCAGTGGCGTGACCACAGTTCACTGCAGCCTCGAACGCCAAGCTGCTGAACACACTGATGTGCTGAACACACAGCTGCTGAACACACTGATGTGCTGGACACACAGCTGCTGAACACACTGATGTGCTGGAACACTGGTGCTGGACCCACAGCTGCTGAACACACTGATGTGCTGGACACACTGATGTGCTGGACACACAGCTACTGGGCTCCACCACTGATATGTGCTGGACACACTGATGTGGGACACACAGCTGTTTACACTGATGTGCTGGACACACTGATGTGCTGGACACACAGCTGCTGAACACACTGATGTGCTGGCAGCAGAGGTTTCCTCTCACTGGGAGAGGAAACAGAAGTTTTGTGTTCAGGAACCTCCCAGGCACTGCCCTGTGTGTCTCTTCATTGGCTAGGCTTGATCTGTGCCCTTTATAATAAAACTGTAATTTTAAGTATAGTGCTTTCCTGACCCGTAAGTCTGGCCACTCTCAAAGAAGGTTCCAGAGAATGTGGCTGGGCACAGTGGCTCACACCTGTAATCCTAGCACTTTGGGAGGCCAAGGTGGGCAGATCAGTTGAGGTCAGGAGTTCAAAACCAGCCTGGCCAACATGGTGAAACCCATCTGTACTAAAAATACAAAAAAAAATAGCTGGGTGTGATGGTGCACTGCTTGTAATCCCATGTACTTGGGAGGCTCAGGCAGGAGAATCTCTTGAACCCAGGAGGCGGAGGTTGCAGTGAGCCAAGATCCTTTTATATGCATTTAGTACCTTAACACCAAGGATTATAACATTACTTGTAATTATAAAATGAGCACAGTTATTATTCCTCTCCTTTTGCCCTAATAAAGGCCTCTTAAGTAAGTTTTCAAAGGGTAGGTCTCAGAGCAGCAGCAGTTCGTAGCCAGTGTAAAGATGACCACCACAGAAAGAAATGACAGGCCAGCCTGGGCTATCCAGAGAGGCCCTGACCCAGAAGGAGGCAGAAGCTGAGTCTGTTGTCTGTGGATGGGAGCTAATAAAGCCTGAGTATATATTTTTGTATACTGATCCCACTCTGTGGGTTCTGTTCTATCTTATCCTGTTTTCTTAACATATCCTCCAATCTTTTTTTTCTTTTTGTTTTTTGTGAGATGGAGTCTCGCTCTGTTGCCCAGGCTGGAGTACAGTGGCATGATCTCGGCTCACTGCAAGCTCCCCATCCCGGGTTCACGCCATTCTCCTGCCTCAGCCTCCCGAGCAGCTGGGACTAGAGGCGCCCGTCAACATGCCTGGCTAATTTTTTGTATTTTTAGTAGAGACAGAGTCTCACTGTGTTAGCCAGGATGGTCTCGATCTCCTGACCTCGTGACCCACCCGCCTCGATCTCCCAAAGTGCTGGGATTACAGGCATCAGCCACCGTGCCCGGCCCAATCTTTACTTACTAGTAAAGTTATCTACTGGGAATGAAACAGATCATCTCAGGAAAGATACTTACAGATCTCTGGCAACTCATTTGAACTAGCAACTGAAAACAAGTGTGACTTTTATGGAGGCAGTTTTTCAACTCTACTCGGAAACAAGTATATATCCACCTGAACAATCCCCAACAGGTTAATACTTTAATAAAATAATGATAAAACACCAAACCTAATCACAGAGGCTAGGTAAGATTTAGGAGGACTTCTCAGAAGAAATCAAACACCCTAGGAGTATTCATTTCACTTTTTACATTTAGAATACTATATACTCCTCTACTCCCATCTGCTATCAATAAAGATATAGACATACTCAATTATAATTCCATGTTAAAAAATACTATGTCTTAACACGGTATACAATTATACAAATTATGACTATACCACAGAGGAAATTAGTGTATATCTGGTTTTTTATTAGCTTACGTGAGTTCCTGGAGGGCTTGTTTTGATCTCTGCAGATCTGGCAAATAATGAGAAAGCAATCCTTCTGCCAGTTGCTCCACAGCTTTGTCTTCTACAGTCAAGTCCTCTATTAACCCTTCATCTGGAGAAGTGTCACTTAAACCTGTCCCCAGCAAAAATCAAATTTAGGAACCTTTTATTTATTTATTTTTTATTTTTTAGGCTAGTCAACTGAAGCAGTGGGATTAGAGAAGGAACAAAGAAATCTGTAACTGGTTGTGATCAATTAGTTGTAAACACCACTGCACTCTGACCAGTCAGAACCTTTCAAATTGACACAGCTAATAAAAGGAGGTTGGGGAGTAGCAGGTAGAAAGGAAGCCCACAAATGGGGTTGAGAGCACACACACACACACTCCCAACCACAGGTATCCTTCTTTTCTTTTTAAACTTTTATCTCTGAGCTTCCTCTAAAAAATGAGTTATGAATGCTCAAAAAAATGTTTTTTAAGTTACTACAATAAGGTAAAGCCTATGATAAATGAACATTTACACAAAATTCTGTATCTTTATATATTTTTCAGGGCAGAGGACTTACAGTTGTCACAGGATTATCAAAGGAGTCTGAAGGCCAGGAGCAGTGGCTCACACCTGTAATCCTAGCACTTTGGGAGGCCAAGGGAGGAGAATTGCTTGAGCCCAGAATGGCTGGGCATGGTGGCACACACCTGTGGTCCCAGCTATTCAGGAGGCTGAGGTGGGAGGATAACTTGAGCCCAGAAGTTCATAGCTGCAGCGAGCTATGATCACACCACTGCACTCCAGCCTGGGCAACAGAGTGAGACCCTGTCTCAAAAAAAAATAAATATAAAAATAAAAATAAAATAAAGGAGACTGAGGCCAAAACGTGGGTAACAGTCACTGAACTAAAGCATTCTTGCTTTCAAAAGCATGAAGAAATTATATAAACAGAAATGCAATGCCTTAAAAAAGTATGTTTTCAATTCTATGGAAACAAAAATATAGGTCAACATTGATTTTGCATATAGTTTGATGTGTTATTTACATGTAAAAGGGGGGTTGTGTTATTAGGGAGGAAAAGAGGGATTTTCTAAGAATTTCTTCTCTCTTAAGAGTCAGCACATTAATTTACCCTAGAAAATAGTGTATAATCATAGTCTTGTGTATAAATCTAGACCTGATGCTGGGATCAGTGCCTCATCACTTTCCTTTGAATAATAAAAGTGTAAGCATTGTGCCAGGTATTCAAAAACATCTAAGATGAATAACTATCAATCACCATTCCTACCAAGAAAAATACAATTTCTAAATAGGGTTTAATGGTTTGTAAGATGGAATCACTGATTTATAATCAGAGAAAAAAAAGTAAGATAGTCACTTTATTAAAATTATACACTAAAATTATGATTAATATTAAACTCTGAAACATCTCTCTTCAATTATAGTCTAGTAACCATCAGTAACATCAAATTAGATCACTCTACAGAATACAGTTATCACAACACATTACTTGTGACACATTTCTAAGTATAATTTGTACCACAGATTTAAATTTTGGCAAAACTGAGAAAAACAGACTCGGCACAGTGGCTCATGCCTGTAATCCCAGCACTCTGGGAGGCTGAGGTGGGCGGATCACTTGAGGTCAGGAGTTTGAGACCAGCCTGGCCAACATGGTGAAACTCCATCTCTACTAAAAATACAAAAATTTCCCAGGTGTAATGTTGTATGCCTGTAATCTCAGCTACTCGAGAGGCTAAGGCACAAGAATTGCTTGAACCTGGGAGGCGGAGGCTGCAGTGTGCCAAGATCGTGCCACTACACTCCAGCCTGGGTGACAGAGCAAGACTCTGCCTCAAAAAAAAAAAAAAAAAAAAAAAAAAGATTGAGGAAAACAACATGCTATCATATTCAAAGTAAACTTTTTGAAAATCAAAATAAAATTATGTAATTTTTAACCCTAAGAAACACATGAACAAACATTGGACTTCTCAAAGTTGCAAGGCAATATTCAAATAGGTAAGAGCTAACTAGAAGCTGAAGCACTCCACATATAAAATAAAAATACAAAAACCAACAAAAGAAAAAAATCTATATATATACATATATAGAGAGAGAGAGAGAAAAGTGAAGCACTTAGGGATATTAATGTACCAACTGTATAGGAAGTGAATAAATTATATCCACCAATTATGCTACTGCTTAAGGCTTGATGACAATAACAATGCAATCAGCAACTTTAAGTATTAATAAATATAGAAAACAATTTTCTTACTGTTTTATGAAAGGAACGCCCCAAAAAAGGGCATTTCAACTTTAAGGAATAACAACTAATTCACTTCACTTAAAATATATTCATACATTTTAACCCACAAACCCTCCTCCCACACCAATGTTCTGGTTAATGAGTCTCAGTTACTCATGTTTTTTGTTTGTTTGTTTTGTTTTCCTCTCTTTTACCCTCTGCTTCTAATGGTTAAGAAGCTACTCATGTTTTTATATATATTTAATTACTAAGTTCAAGGTGCTTTATTGTGGGAGAGTAAAGAAGAAGAAAGGGAGGGTCCTTACTCTATTCATACAAGAAAGGTTTGCTGAACATCTATATTATGTACCAGGTTGTGAGGTTACAACAATAAATAAGGCAAGTCCCCTTCCCTGGAAGGGCACAATACGACGAATCACAGAATATGAGAAGTGCCATTAGAGAAACAGAAAATGTTATGAAAATTCAGGGGAGAGCGACTTTCATTAGGGAAGTCTAAGAAAAATTCTAAAGGAAGTGTGGACATTGAGCTAAAGCTCAAAGAATGGATGGAGTTTTCATTTCTCTTTGTCTATTTGAGTGTTACTCACTGTAAAAACTTAGAACACTACAGAGGGAGGCACAAACTGAAAAGTAAAAATACTCCTTCTTACTCCAGCAGGAGCTACTCTGGAGTTTCTCACAGAGCCTTCCAGAAATTGTCTTTGCATGCCTATGCATATATTGTTTTTTATCACAAACAAAATATTACTCATACCATTCTGCAACTTTTAAAACATGTATCTTAGGTATCTTTCCATACCAACATATAGGGATCTACTACATTCTCTTTAACAGAACAGAATTCTACCATAGTTTGTTTAACCAGTCCCCCATAGATGGATTATTTAGGTTATTTCCACTTTTTGCTATTTCAAACAATGCTGCAGTGAGCTTCCCTGCTTATCTGTATATTTGTGTCACTTTCCGTAGGATAAATTCTTAGAAGTAGACTGTTGGGACAAAGAGTTTATGCATTTTTTAAATAGACATTGCCAAACTGCCCTCCTAAGAACCTGGCACCAATTTGCACTCCCACCAACAATCTGTGAGGACTGTTTCCAAATGGGGAAGAAATCTGTGGCAGGAGTGGAATGGATGCAATATGGGTAAAGAAGGCAGCATGAGGAAAGGCTGGAATACAATATAGGCTTCTTCTGGAGACGCATGAGGCATATGCAGCATAGCAATAGTGAGCTTATTTAAGACCATGTGGAAGGCCAGAGAGGGCCTCTAACTGCCAAGTTAATGGTTTGGAGCTTTGTTAATAAGTAGTGAGGAGCTATTTAAGGTTTCTGAGTACAGGAATGACATGACTGAAGCTTTATCTTGGGACGGTGATGTGATAGCAGTGGGACAGATGCGTTGAAAGAGTAAGACTGGAGGTGGACTAGCCTTTCAACGGCTGTTTTAAGGGTGAAATTGCAAGGAGATGGAATTGTATAGGAGAATCCCTTAGAGGTGGAAGGAGAGAAAGGAAAAAGTCCAGAGCATTTTCAAAGTTTCAACTCAGAGTAACCTATCACCATTAACAGGATGAGACACGTTTTCATTTATGTACATGCCTTACTGTGAGATTAGCGCAAAACAACCACGTCAAAGTATCCAGCTAGCAGATGGAGAAGCAAACAAGAGTAAAGAGAGAGGCCCAAGTTTCAAATACATACAAGGAAGTCACATTTATAGAAGCGACTTATGAAAGTGTGAAGAGATCCTTGAGGAAAAGCATGAACAGGAAAGTGCTGAGAGCACTATTTGGGGGTAACCCCTATATTTCTGAAACAGGAGGTAAAAGAAAAAGCATATCCAAAGCCCTGCAGCCTTTCTCATCTAGGGCCTCATCTGAATCACAGAACACAGAAAATGCTCTGAGTGACCATTTTCTCACTTCTCCCAAGGATGGTACATAAATAGTACCATTTTGGGTGCACAGCAAGTTAATTCATTCCATTCAATGGATGCCTTAGGGCATTAGAGCTTAAATCCCTCCTGGAACTCGGTCGAGAAGACTGCTGCAGGAATAGGGATGAAGCAATATCACCAAGCTGACCAAGTATTTCATGAGTGGTCAATATTATAGGATACGTCACCTCTCTGAATTATAAGCTGATCATCTTTCTGGTAAATCCATCCCCCACCACTGCCGTATGAAAAATAACTAATGACGTATCGGAGTCAACACAGAAACTCAGAATGGCTTCACCATCAACCGCCTCCAATTGCAGCCCAATACAAAGCTTGCCCTCGGGACTTCAGTTCCGTCCATTGCGCTGGGTAGAGGGGCCAGCGCGGTTCCCCATTTCTGCACTAGAGGCAGAGCCCGGGGGCCGTAGCTGCCAAAAGCCGCCTACTCCCCCACGGTTTCTCCGGAGTCCTACCCATTCAGGTCCCGGCCCCTCACACCCAGCCCGGGCCGCGCTTCCTACCGGACAGTACGTACCAGGGGTCGGCTCCCCGGCCTCCAGGCAGTAGGGTGGCCGTGTCAGGGCCCCGTCCGGAGACGACGGCCCAGGGACACTCATATCCCTCCAGCTGGGAACAGAGAGAAGGGGCAAACGTGTGGCCCGTCAGAAGCAAGGAGGCACCTAACGACTCCAGTGTCTGGCCGGACAGAAGAGATTGTCGCACCCGGAAGTGACGGAAGCGAAAAACTGCAGGCTTCGGTCACGCGCTTCAGAGTTGGCTCTGCCCCATGGCGTTGTGGGGACCCCGCGCTGATGTCGTCGTCTGGCCCCGGACGCAGTGTCAACGGACTCAGCAGAGCGGGGCTCGAGGCCCTGCGACCCGATTGGTGGGAGCTGAGGGAGGACGGTGGCGGGTTTGGGCTGCTCACCGGGTGGGTCACGAAGACCGGAAGAGCGTTGTCTTTGTTGGGCGCGGGCGAGCAGTCAGGCTTTGTTCACTGAAGCTAGGGAGAAAACAGGACTTTCAGGCTTCACGCGGGACAGCTTTTTAGTGTTATCTCCCTGTTTAGGGAAAAACTTAAGAACAGGGAGTGCGCGCTTTCCCTGCGGTTTGGACCATTAAAATCGATGCCTAGGTGTCTGCGAGCCTCAGCCTTGCTAACTACGGTTTTGCCACTATTCCGGTCTCCCCTTGTTAAGTGTAGATGAAAGATTTAAGCCCTCCGTTGCAGCAGCTACTGAACAAATTCGACCAAATTATCAGAAACTGCACTTGCTGAGATCCTGTGGAATGATCTCATGAATTCTGTTGGAAAACACTTAGAAAAGGGCATATAGGCAGCTTTGGACCAAAGAAAACGATTTAGCTCTGCCACCTCTAGCTTATACCCTCTCATCTCAACTATAATGGTGGCCTCCTAATGTTGCTCCCCAACTATGCCTGTTCAGTTTTCTCAGCTGCAACCAAAGCTTATTTCAAAAAAATAAGAATTTGCAAGCCTCAGAAACGTGCACTGGCTCCCCATTGCCCTTATCAGTGCATTCACACCCTTTCCTCTTTGGGCCTCTTTTCCTCTTAGTATTAGCTCCTCCTTATTACCCATGGTAGGCAGAATAATAGCCCCTCAAAGATGTCCACAGCCTAAACACCAGAAGCTGTGATTGTGTTAGCTTGCATGGCAAATGGGAATTAAAGTTGTTAATTACCTGGTGTTGAAATAGATTATCTTGGAATCGCTTTAACCAGGGAGGCAGAGGTTGCAATGAGCTCCACTGCACTCCAGCCTGGGCGACAGGGCGAGACTCCATCTCAAAAAAAAACCACATTATCCTGGATTGTTCCAGTGGGCCAATTGTAATCATAAGGGCCTCCAAAACTGCAAAAGATAGTCAAGAATGACAAGTAACTATGAAGAATGATTAGAGAGATACAACATTGTTGGCTTTGAATATAGAGGAAGGGAGCCTCCAGCATTGTGGGTGACCTCCGGAAGCTGGAACTGATAAGGAAACATTCCCCCCGAAGCCTCTCTAATGCTCTGATGACACCTTGATTTTATCCTCATGCGATCAGTGTTGGACTTCTGACCAACAGAACTGTGAAATAATCTGTGTCTTAAGTTTGTGATAACTTGTTGTAACACCAATAACAATACTACCCTTCAAGACATTCGAGCATTCTCCTAAAATTATACCCTTTCATGTCTGCAGTGCTCTTGCTTGTGCTTCAACATGAAATATTCTATTCTTTTGTAAACCAAAAATAAAATTCTAAACCCCACAACTGACTGGTGGACCCCCTGCCCCCCACCTCTTGGCCAAGGGCATTCCAAAGTAAACCTGAAAATCTAGTTTTTCCATCATCTAGATGGAAGTGGGGATTGGGGGTTAGTCGGGGGGATGGGTCGGACATGCCTCATTACACCCTCCTCCCTTTGGAATTCAGGCTCAGCTGAACAGCATTCACATGAAAACAGATCTTAAGACTGCCAGAAAAGACTTTTTCTAGCTTTTCTAGACTTTTATTTTTGACACCAAGCCAGCCTGACTCTAGTATAGCATCACGACAGATAGCAGGCCCTGAAAGAAATTGAATTATTTAACCCCAGAATATATTTCTTTGACATATTTTAAAATGGCCCTGCAAAGCTGTATCTTGTGGTGGGAAACCTACAGTCTGTAGAAAAAGCCCTGTTCCTCTCCAGGTGTTTTCCCTTACCCGGGAGAGAATTAACCAAGTCTGGCACCGTTTTAGGTCTGATAAGAGCTCTACCTGAGGCTTCATCTGCATGATGAAACCTTGATCTCTGCCGGGCTCGGTAGCTCACGCCTGTAATCCCAGCACTTTGGGAGACCAAGGCGAGTGGATCACCTGAGGTCAGGAGTTCGAGACCAGCCTGACCAACATGGTGACTGAAACCCTGTCTCTGCTAAAAATACAAAAAAAAAAAAAAAAAAGGCCGGGCATGGTGGCGGGTGCCTGTAATCCCAGCTTCTCGGGAAGCTGAGGCAGGAGAATCACTTGAACCTGGGAGGCAGAGGTTCCAGTGAGCCAAGATCACACCATTGCACTCCAGCCTGGGCAACAAGTGTGAAACTCTGTCTCAAAAAAAAAAAAAAAGCCCACCTTGGTCTCCACAAACCCTTATCTTAACCCAGACATTCTGTTGACTCCAGGTCTTTAGATAATAACGCAAGTCTTTTTTGTTTGTTTATTTCCTAATGTAAAGTCTCCCTATGTTGCCCAGGCTGCTCTGGAACTCTTGGCCTCAGGCAGTCCTCTCACCTCAGCCTCCCAAAGTGCTGGAATTACAGGCATGAGCCACCACACCAGCCTGATAATCTTTCAATTGACTGTGACCCTGGAGTCTCTGCTTCCAGGTGTCCCGCCTTTCAAGACCAAGCCAATGTACATCTTACGTGTTTTGATGAATGTCTTAGGTCTTCCTAAAGTATATAAAACTACACTGTAGTCTTGTCAGAGGTATTTGAACCAGAGCAACTCCATCCTGAATAGGGGCTGGGTAAAATGAGGCTGAGACCTACTGGGCTGCATCCCCAGGAGGTCAGGCATTCTTAGTCACAGGATGAGACAGGAGATCGGCACAAGATACAGGTCACAAAGACCTTGCAGTAAAGAAGCCAGCCAAATCCCACCAAAACCAAGACGGTGCCAAAAGTGACCTCTGGTCATCCTCACTGCTCATTATTTGCTAATTATAATGCATTAGCATGCTAAAAGACACACCCACCAGCACCATAACAGTTTACAAATGCCATGGCAACATCAGGAAGTTACCCTATATGGTCTAAAAAGGAGAAGAATCCTCAGTTCCAGAAATTGCCCACCCCTTTTCTGGAAAACTCGTGAATAATCCACCCCTTATTTAGCATATAATCAGGAAATAACTATAAGTGTAATCAGTGAGCACCCTAAGCCACTGCTCTGCCTATGAGTAGCCATTCTTTATTCCTTTACTTTCTTAATAAACTTGCTTTCACTTTATTCTATGGACTCATCAGAATTCCTTTTGTGCAAGAACCAAGAACTCTCTCCTGGGGTCTGAATCAGTACCCCTTTCTGCTAACAGCCTGACCACCTTGGGCATATGTTCTCAGGATCTCCTGGGGCTGTGTCACGGGCCATTGGCCACTCACATTTGGCTCAAAATAAATCTCTTCAAACATTTTACAGAGTTTGACTTAATCAACATTTTCAAAGTCCTACTTTTCAGCTGGGTGCGGTGGCTCACACCTACAATCCCTAGCACTTTGGGAGGTCGAGGTGGGCAGATCAGCTGAAGTAAGGAGCTCCAGACCAGCCTGGCCAACATGGTGAAACCCTGTCTCTACTAAAAATACAAAACTTAGCTGGACGTGGTGGCACATGCCTGAAATCCCAGATATTCGGGAGGCTGAGGCAGAGAATCGCTTGAACCCAGGAGGTGGAGGTTGCAGTAAGCCGAGATTGCACCACTGCACCCCTGCCTGCGTGACAGAGCAAGACTGTCTCAAAAAAAGAAAAAAAGTCCTACTTCTCTTTCAAGGCTCAGCCTTAAAGCCTTTACTTTAAAATCATTCACAGTCCCACTTCTCCTTTCATTCAGAAGTTACAGTAATAACCCTTTATCAACCAAAGCATCCTGCTATTTTAGCACTTAATCCATTCTTTTTTCTCCCCCTGTGGTAGAGACGGGTTTTGCTATGTTGCCCAGGCTGGTCTCGAACTCCTAAACTCAAGTGATCTGCCAGCCTCAACCTCCCAGAGTGCTAGGATTACTGGCATGAGCCACCGTGCCCATCCACTTAATTTGTTCTTGTATTAGTTATTTTCTTTGTCTCCCTCTTTTAGATTGCAAACTCCGAACATACACTCTTATTCACGCAGAATCATAATAGGTTCTCAATAAATATTTGATGAATGAAGGAAGTATTGATTCTCTAGCCCCATTTCCAGATATCTATAATCTTTTTTTTTTTTTTTTTTTTTTTTTTTGAGAGGAGTCTCGCTCTGTCGCCCAGGCTGGAGTGCTGTGGCCGGATCTCAGCTCACTGCAAGCTCCGCCTCCCGGGCTTACGCCATTCTCCTGCCTCAGTCTCCCGAGTAGCTGGGACTACAGGCGCCCGCCACCTCGCCCGACTAGTTTTTTGTATTTTTTTAGTAGAGATGGGGTTTCACCTTGTTAGCCAGGATGGTCTCGATCTCCTGACCTTGTGATCCGCCCGTCTCGGCCTCCCAAAGTGCTGGGATTACAGGCTTGAGCCACCACGCCCGGCCCGATATCTATAATCTTTAAAGTCTGCGTCACACAATATGGCATTTGATAAACTGCCTGGTAACCTTAGTTGGTTGTTAGTATTATCTCCCAACTAGATAGTAAGGCCATTTAGAATAAAGCCATGTCCTGTGGGTTGTCTGTAGCTCTTTATCTCTTAGCAGAGTATTAACCATATTACATGGATTTAAAAATACTTGTTACTTTTTATTATTATTTAAAATAAAAACAAGGTCTCACTATATTGCCCAGGCTCATCTTGAAATCCTGAGCCTGAGTGATCCTCCTGCCTCAGTCTCCCAAAGTGTTGGGATTACAGGTGGAGCCACCATACCCGGCCAAAATACTGGTTGTTTAAATTCAGTGGATGAAATTAAACCGTTACACCCTGCCACTTTTTCATTATCTTCTATTTTGCTTTATGGAACAATTCATGTTGGAAATTTGATGATCTTTTTCGGCATTTTAACTTTACTTAATGTGACAAAAACTAATCAGCTAAATAGACAAGGAGGACTTTGTACCAAACCCATCTTGCTTTTCCCTTTCTCCTTTTCCCTCTATCCCCACAGATTTCAGCTGAATACATCTGTTAGAGGCATGCCAAGCAGAGCGACTCCGTCTTGAACAGAGGCTGGGTAAAAGGAGGCTGAGACCTGCTGGGTTGCGTTCCCAGGAGGACAGGCATTCTTAGTAACAGGATGAGACAGAAGGTTGACCCAAGATGCAGGTCACAAAGACCCCGCTGATAAAACAGGATGCAGTAAAGAAGCTGGCCAAAACCAAGCTGGTGACAAAAGTGACCTCTGGTCGTCCTCACTGATCATTATACACTAATTTTAATGCATTAACACACTAAAAGATACTCCCACCAGCGTCATCACAGTTTACAAATGCCATAGCAACGTCCAGAAGTTACTCTATATGGTCCAAAAAGGGGAGGAACCCTCAGTTCCAGGAATTCCCCACTTGTTTCCTGGAAAACTCATTTAATATCCACCCCTTGTTTAGCATATAATCAAGAAACAGCCATAAGTATACTGAGCCAATCGGCCCATGCCACTGCTCTGCCTATGGAGTAGCCATTCTTTTTTATTTTTTGAGATGGAGACTCTCTCTGTCACCCAGGCTGGAGTGTAGTGGCGCAATCTCGGCTCACTGCAAGCTCCGCCTCCCAGGTTCACGCCATTCTTC